ATACCTCGTACATGTGCATGCAAACAGAAAATAGCTATCAAAACGATTACTACAGCATCGCAAGTGCAGATAGCAGAAAGTGAGTATGGATAAAGGGCTCATCGATTATGCATGGAGTGGTGCCGATTTGCTCGCAGCAACTGTGCCGCTTTGTCTCTATCTATTAGGCATTGAATGATAAACGGTGCTGATCACTTAAGCATGGCTTCCATTCAGCGGAGGACAAGTCTGAGGTGCTTCCTCATAGAACCATTTTTTAGCAGTATGCCGCCAAGTGTACCATCGGCAAATGTTCAACGTTGGTACATTTCTCGTCAAACCCAATAGCAACGTTCATGCCGCTTTTCTGTTCAAACTTTTACCTCCAACTCATGATAGTAGGAGAGGAATTGTACAGACCCTGCTTAAGAAGAATAATGAAATGATCTAAGCGCTCAGATGAAAGTTTCAATTGACTCTGTTTAATACAACGTTATGCGGCACGGCGTCACAAGCCGTTTCAACATTGTTATCGAAATTTATGCCTTCCACATATGGAACCACTTCTCAGTTTTAATTTAAACAGTTCTTTGGAGAATTCAGGTGCTGTTTCTGCGTGTCACTTGAAGCGTCTATCCAATTTCACTCCCGAGATGCGTTCGTCTTGGTTGAGTTCATCAACTTGAGGGTTTGCGTAAGTTTTCCGCTGTATTCGCAGCTTTCCAGCTCTTTTGTTACAAGACCGGTTACTGCATCATAGAGAAAACATCTGCCTCTGTCTTGTTCCTCCATGTTGCAAGATGGCCTTCAATCGATGTGCGCATGATTCGACTCCCATGCGATAAGCCAGGGGACTGAAATAAATGGCTTATATTCAACCAATTTGCTCGAGAGGGTGAGCCTCATTTATTTAATCCTTTCATTTACAACACACCTCTGCACAGAATAGGAGTCGAGTGGCGGCTTCCAACCTTCAAATTCGATTTGACTTTGGCGTATCCGGATTCTAAACAGATTTTCTTAAAAACAGTAGTGATCACCGTAAATCACGATTACTCTGTCGCATTCAGCAAACCATTTGGAGTTGATGGCGGGTCTTCGCGGTTACCGTTATAATGCATAATTGTATATTCCGTTTTACTTCCGTTTATCCTGCAATCCCATGCAATTTCCCGTAAAAACGTACATGGCTTGAAACGTAGTGGTTAAAGATCATGATTATTAACAGTGAGGTTGGAAAGCATCGTAATTGTCAAGAATTTCCGAGTATGATCCTTATTGTATGATGCCATTGTCTGTGAATGTGGAAGGTTATTTAGTCAGGCCGGGACGACTGCTACGACTTCGTTGCTTACGTGAAGCGGATGAGACACGTATTCACGAGTATGTAGCAACGGAGAAAATGAGCCATGTCAGGGTAGTGCATTCAGTGCACTTCTAGCTGAGGTCGAAAATAGTATAGGCTTTCTTTATGCGGTTGATGACAATGAGTTTCAGAAAGTCACAACCGTTGTCGAAGTAACAACGGTTAACAAAGAGTTTCATTCTACACAAAATGGACCAGATTTCGACTGGATTTGCCAAACGTCATTAGCCAGATTGATTTGACTTAAAAAGTTCATCTGTGGGATGCTCGCCCCCCCCTGACTGGTTAGAAATTTCCAATCAATCAAGCAATATCTTCGTCGCGTGGTTGGCGTTTGTTGCGCAGCTGCCATGTCTTTATCTGCTGTTGATTTCATCTGCACGTCGGTTGTTGCTGTCACTCCAGGATCTTTGAGGTTTTGGACTTTTCAGAGCGCTTGATTAAACTTATCCAGGTCTTGGACGTTTCCACTCTAAATTCCTTGTTCATGCTGTTGTCCACTGTTTGGATCAAGAGAGCCTATAAGCGTTCAGTTAAGGCAGCTGACAGGGTAATGGGCGAATTCCCCGGCAAAGTCAGTTTGGTGACAGGTACTGAAATAGCGATGCGCAGGCACAACTGCTACTTCCAGTTTCTTTAGAGC